GGTTTCCTAGTACAAAGTGCTCTGTCCAAAGAGGGGTGATGGAGAGGATCCTCACTAAGCACATTCTCTCTCTCAGGAGTTTGAATTGGGAAATTCTGGGAGAGAATCAGCCAGATGAGAAAAAGACACTCAGGGACTGAAACAATATCTACTGTGCATTTATTATTTCTGAGCCATTTGAGAGTAAGTTGCAGACATCCTGACCCTTCACCCCTAAATATTTTACCACGTGTTTCCTAAGAACAAGGAGATTTTCCTACAAACCACATACACTTACCAAATTCAGGAAATTTAACAGTGATACAGAATATTATCTAATATACTGTCCATTTTCAAATGTCACCAGTTGGCTCAATAACATCCTTTAAAGCAATTGTGGTTTTTCCAAAGCAGGATCCAATCCAGGACCATGTATACACTTGTCATGTCTCTCTGGTCTCCTTTAACCTCAAACAATTTCTCAGCCAAACAATCCCTGAGCCTCCTTTGGTCTTTCACATCCTTGATATTTCTGAAGAATCCAGTCCAGTTATTTAGCAGGATGTCCCTTAATCTGGGTTTGCCTGAATGCGTTTTCACAATGAGATTCAGGTTATGAGTTCCTGGCAGGAATCCCACATGAGTGATGTCCTCACCTCCTCATCAGGGGCACTTGATGGCACTTTGTGATGTTAACTGTGATCACTTGGTTGAGGTGATGTCTGCCAGATCTCTCTACTCAAAAGGGACCATTTCCCCTTTGTAATTAATAAATAATCTGTGAGAGTACTTTGAGACTGTGCGGGTATCCTATTCCCCCACGAACATTCACTCAGTGGTTTCAGCATCCATTGATGATTCTTACCTGAGTCACTTATTACTTTGGTAGCTGCACAATGGTGATTTTCTCTCATTCCATTTAAACACTTGGCATTCTGCTGCAAACAGGAGCTCTCCTTTCCTCCCATTTATTTATGTACATCAGTATGGACTCATGGGTTCCTTCTTAATTCAATGTCTTATAAT